GATTCAGTTGTATTAAAAAGTAGAGAATTGAAACTTTAGTGATTAATGGTGTTGAGAAACGTTGGGAGGTGTTTGAGTTCAGCCGGCTGAAACGTTTGTTATTCGATGACTCTGGTTTTGGATTCGTGCTTCTTTTCTTGTGTTACCTGTTTGAAGCTCTACTGTCAGCTGTTTGATACAGGTGGGGGGGGAGCAATAGGGGTTTTGAGTAATCAGGATCGGTTCCCAGAAAAACTGCTATGAGTGCATTGTTACTCAGTGATGTTGTAACAGGGTACGTCACAAACTGTGATGTTCGTCTGTGGTCTCGCACTTGCGTCAAACCCCAAAACCTGATGGCTGTGCAACAACTGTGAGCACACCCAGACTGACTTTAAGCTCCTTCATGTACGGTAACGTCTGACTCGTTGGACACTAACTGTAAATTCAGACTACAACTTTTTTTGGGTGACCAATCGTGCAGAGCTCATCCGCACAGCGACAGTCAGTGCTCACATGTTTGGGTCAATAACAGAAAAAGCCTCGACGTGAATCGAACCGACACTTCTTGTATTTAGTCTGTTACATTTGTTTCTTTGTTTTTAATCACATTACATGTCCTTTGTTGGTTATTTAACTGAGTAATGTTACCAATAATAACATAATCAGTTCAACAAGCCTCTTTATAGATGCCTCATTTTTCTTCTGCTGCCTAATCAACAGTCTTTTGATTCATAAAACGAAAGTTTTGGAGCTTCTGGAGCCTCGAGACGCAGAGGATACTTAATTGAAGGCTTCTCATTTCAAAACTTTCCATCTGCCAGCTTCTTTTTCAGGCATTTCCCTTTTGAGGACAGACGTTTGCCTGTTTGTACAAGCCTATTGTAGTGTTTAGTTTGTCTACATGAACGACCGACCACAGTCCAAATCCAGCACGGCTCTTGTTCTTATTTTAGTTTTTGTTTTTCCTTTGAAGTTTGAGGAAAGAGGTTCACATAATAAATGCTCAGTGTCACTGTAATATATGGTTAAAGGTTTGTGCAGATAAAACTGAACACTGGGTTCATTTGGAGCCGCTTTGCACA